ATGGCATCCTGAACTCGTGTCAAAATTCAAATACGCGCCTGTCGCATGGACAGCAAGGCAATCTCTTTTCAAGTTTTATATTTTTAAAAATGATTTTGAATTTAAATTATTACTTGATAATTTTTATTATATTATTTGTAATTGATGTGTTAATATCTAGCCTATAATTCTGATTCTTATTTTTTTTATTAGTGCAGTAATTTCAATTTTATTTTTTTTACTCCCTCAATTTTATGAAAAATCACAATTTTAATCTTTTAATTAAATATTTATCTGCTGACTATTACTAAATAAATAACATAAAAGTAACTATTTCATAACATTTAAGTTAAATCGTAATTAACATTCACATTAAGTAGGACTCTTTATTATAAGAACCATAAATCCATGTCATTAGATGTGATTATCCACATTTTATCTCTAATAATGTTGATATACATACACACATGTGTATGGACAATTGCTCCCGCAAGATTTTTTTATTATTTAATAATGTTTAATAAAATCATTTTTTCCTCATAAAAAAATAGGTGTTGCGTTCATAATATTTATTTTGAATAAAGATAAAACAAAAATTGGTTTGTTGCATAAAAAACACTAAAATTGATTTCACAATCAATTCGAAATTAGTTTGAAATGAATTTCAGCAAAATGAGATTATTTTTTTAAAGTTCAAATTTGAAATCCCATTGAACACATAGTTTAGAAAATTTTGTAAATCCTAACTGTGTATACATTTTCAGCTGAGACTTTGCTCACAATACCTCTGGTCCTCTACCCAGCCTGTAACTGCTTGATGGATTTCCAGGTTTCCTGTTTTTGTCAATTTCTTTAAACCTGAATTTATTCAGTCATCTTTAATTTGTCGTCTTATGCTCTGTAACTGATCCTGCTTGCATGCAAATCATGGTACTTTGTGCCTGTCTACACATGAGCATGTGGAACTGGACCCATCCAAAACACACTACACAGCACATAAATTAAGAACAAAAATTAATCAATTCTAAAAGTTTTCAACAAAATAAAGGAGTAAAAAAGCTTGATTTGATTTTTGTGGAAAATATGATAAAGGACACACTCCTTTTCCTTCACCTTGGGTTTGCGGGCTTTGTTTCACTTTAACTTCCGTTCCCCACACCCCAACATGCACAAGTTTTCATACAGAGGATATTAAAATATCGTTTGAAAAATTGAGAAAAAAAAGAGGAGATTTTACTTAACTAATATATATATATATATATATAAACAATATTAATTAATATAAGTAGTATTCACTTGTATTCTTTAATCAAAATATTTAGAATTCAAAAAATATTAATTTTAAGTATAAAATATATTATGTTTAAAAAGAAACATTCATATTATGTGCATTCATGTACTTAATAAATATTAATCATTATTTTTTAAATATAAATATTTTATATTAATATCTTAAAAATTAATAAAATAATATATAAAAACATGTTTAAATGATAAAGTCACTTAAACTTTAATGTAGTTATTGAAAATAATTACATCAAAAGCTTGAAAACATGAAAAGACATTGTAGAAGAAGGAAGAGTCATGCTATCATGATTTATGAATATATCAAGTTTCTAAAAGAAAGTTTAATATAATAATTAAGTTGAAATCTACTTAACCGTTTCATCATGCGTGTAACATGCATGGTTATAAGACTACTTATCTTAGTCCTCATAATAAATTATAAATTTATTATTTTTATAAAAAAAGTTTGCATATTTATTGTTTAATAATTTTATTGAGAGACATCTTATATTCTGAAATTTAATTATATAATCTATTTAGTTCATATTTCAAAAATATATCTACAAAAATATTAGAAAATATTAAAGTTTAGAAATGTTGAACTTTTTACTGATAATTATTATAATTAATTTATAATAGTATTAATTTTGAAGTTATGTTATTTAGTAGATGCCAAGGAAAAATGTTATAATTTAATTGTTTAAATGTATTTTACAAAATTGACTTCAAATTTTAACTATCTTTATCTTTTTCTTCTCTTTCACTTTTCATTTTTATAATATTCATTTGAAAACTTGAAGTAACTGTTAAAGTAAATAACTGTTGATAGTAGTGATTAATCTACTCGTTACATTAGAGGTACCTCAAAAAGTGAAATAGTTGACCCCAAGATTTAACGCGACTGCATATACAAGGTAGAATTCAAACCCTGACCTTGTTTAAGCCTGGATCAACCCCTAACGCTGAACCACACGCTTGAGATTATTTGTTACGGTGAATAATACCAATGCATAAGTTTTTATATTTTTAGGTTTTTATCATTTTACTTTTTTTTTTCAATATCATTTATTATTATTTTTATTATCATTATTATTATCTCTTATAATATTTTAGACTTAAATATATTTTTATTTTTCTAAAATTTTGAATTATTATTTTTAATCTCTATTATTATATAATCATTTTTAATTATACTTGTTTATTTATTAAAGGGTTAAGTAATCATCTTAGATCTTATTTATAATTATTAGTAATATTATATTAATGTATGATATATTTAAAAGATTTTACATATTTTTAAAATAAATATTATTTATATACTTTAAGACTAAAATTTAAATTTGTTCATTTTATCGAAACTAAAAACATATTTAGATTATAATTTTATTATACATTATAAAATTATAATAATATAAAATGTCAAATAAAAAATAATAATCTAATTTTAAAAGGTAAAAAAAAATGATAAAAAAATTTAAAACACAAATAGTTAAAAAAATTCATAAGAATATTAATAATTAATTTCATATTATTAAGTTTTTCTAAAAAAATTTGTCTTTGGCCTGAAATTGTTTTGTAACTGACTACCGTCTTTAATGGATCTTTCTTTTTCTTGATAACGTTTATCCGATTTCTTTTTTTGTTAAAAGGAAGAGAAAAAGTTGCATAAATTTTGGGATGAGCTTAAAAGTAATGTAAAGTAATTTAAGTATGAATGATATATGAAGGAATTCCTGGCAATTGATTTATATGTGACCCACGTGTATGAAGATGCACAGTGTAACATGCGTATATCTCAACCGTATTCCATCCTATTCAACATTTAATACGTATACTTACCTCACATATAAAATCATCATGGTCCTAAATTAAATGACCATGTGTGTCATGTCCCCCTGCACTCTACTCTTACACTAAATTTGTTCTATGTCACCATTTCAAAATTTATTGTCATCAATTGAGTCTGTAGCACTAGAAAGGAAATTCGTGCTGCAAGAAAATGAAATATATGGCAGTGGGAAATAATTAGAAATTATATTTAATTGATTTTTAACGATCTCAATTTTATTATCAAAATCTAGGTCAATTTTATGATTTTAATCTATAGTTTGTCACAGTTTCTTTTATCACCGAAGTATTTTATCCTGGAATAGTTTATAATGACAATGGCATATATATAAATATATAGATAAATAAATAAATAGAGAGAGGGCGTTCACCTCCTTCTTTTAAAAATAAGTTTTTTTTATATTGAAATGTCAACAAGAGAAAACAAAGAAAGATAAAGGAAAAATACACTATTCACATAATATTACTTAGATTTACTTCACTCAATAATTTATATTTTATAATAAATTTTAATCATCAAATTGTTTAATTAAAAATTCTTAATGCATACATTAAATTTAAAAAAAAATAAAAATTATTTGATACTTCATTTCATTAATTCAAATTAATGAATAAATAAAAAATATTTTATAAGTTAATTTAAATTTATA